CAAATTGATAAAAACAAATTAAAACAGTTACAATTACGTTGTTACTTGCATTACAAAGGTTTGATTTTAATTTGGGTGTGTGAGGAGGTAAAGGGTGGAGCGATCTACAGCGTTACAGCTTTAGAGCAGTAGTGATATGGACATTACCACTGCACTCTTTTCCTGTTGTGCTATACAAAAATACAATAAAAATGTAAAAACGTGAAAAACTGCACAAACATCAGTCTGCTGCTAACAGAACTGCAGCTTTGCAAATATCTGCACAGACAGCATGCTAATGCTAGGCCAGCTAAGAACCCAGAGTGGTGATGAAACTGCGTGAATGTTGACCCAGCCCTGCAGCCAAAGCCTGATCTTCAACACGTAAAAGTCACACCCATAGACTCAGTTTCTACGTGTTCATGTTTCTAAAGAAGTAGTTAAGTAATGTACTTTTATGAAAAGTAACAAGAAAAATGTGTAATATGCGTAACGACTCCCAACACCAGTTGCTAGCTGGATACAAGAGGATTTTTTTTTTTTGCACACCATCAACATGAACTGAACTATACCAGCCTCCAATCAAATATAGAGAGCCACAGTAAGCTCAAGTACAACAGACTTACAGGTGTTTTGTTGGGGTCTGGTGTTGACTTTCTTCTTTTCTTTGTGGGGTCTTGAAATGTGACTACCTCCACCTGGTTCACTTGCTCGAAGGCTAGAAAATGGGATGAATCAGATTAATGAGTAAAAAAAAAAGAACAGAAAGAAAACTTAATGACTCACAGACAAAAGTGAAATGACTGAGGGTGTTATATACTGTTGCTATGCTGCCTACCCGTTTGCTCAGCCTTTCGTTGTTGCTGCTGCTCAGCATCATGTTGCTCTGCTTTGTAGTCTTCAGTGTCACTGCATATATCCTTCACTGCAGGGAGCTCCTCTTCTTCCTCCCAATCTTCGCATCTTTTTCGTTTTTTCTTCTTCTGAGACTTCTTTTTTGGTCCTGATCCTACATCATCAATCAACAATATAATTCAGAATCCAGACCCTGTAACTCTTTTTTACATGACTTGGCCATGAACTCTGGTAAAGTCAGTAACACAAGAAAGTAGCAGACACCTGACTTTTAAAATATAGGTAACTTTGCACTTCTGTAGCAAAAACTAAACTGAAACTAATGCAGTCCAGAAAAGCAGTATTAAAATAAATCTCTTCCTGCTATCCTTCTATCTCAAATCACCCCCGACACCTGCCGTCACCGCTCCACCAAACCTGCTTGTGCCCTGTCCATTGATGCATTAATAATGACAATGTTCAGGATTTGCATTAACTTGATCAAAGGGTCACAATATAACTTTATGAAAATGTCGAGAATGCAGTTTGTGGTGCTGCTTAACTACAGTGCATGAACTATATTCGTTTTTATCTAGATTGCACTACACAGAAGAGGAATGAAAGTCAGTAGGAGTAAGACAGCATACGTGTGTGAATGAGAGGGAGACAGATGTAACAGTGCAGACGTAATAAGTTAAGATAGTGAAGGTGGATCAGTTTTAAATATCTAGGTGCATAACAGTCAGTGAATAACAGAGGTGAAAAAGAGTGCAGGTAGGGTGGAGATGAGTGTCAGAGCTGATTTGTGACAGAAGGATAGCAGCAAGAGTGAACGCGAAGGTTTAAAAAAAATTAGAGAGTCCTACTATGATGAAACAAAGAGACTAAGCTCAAGGTCGCAGAGCTAAAGCTGTTGAGCTTTTCACTGGGAGTGACCAGAATGGACAGTATTAGAAAGGAGTACATCAGAGGGACAGCTCAGGTTGAGCAGTTTGGAGACAAAATTCATGGATGTAGTGAACGAGGACATGTTTGTGTTGGTTGGTGTGAAAGATTATGATGCTGGAGGTAGCTGCGAGATAGAAGCTGAAGCAGTTGTCAGATGGAGAAGCTCTTTATAAAGTTTCGGCACTTGACTTATTTTTAATTTTCATGCTTTTTTAATCTCGGTATGCGAAGCTCAGTATTTACTGTAACATGCTGTCATTTACTCATGTGGTTCATGTACATTAAAAATCACCAGTGTTGCTTTTCTGTGTTTTTTTATTCTAGCCATGTGAAGCCCTTTGAGTTGCACGTTTATATGGACGGTGCAACATAAGCAAAGTTGAGCCGAGCTTTGTATACTAAGAGAGTTTTCTGCCATTTACTGGTATAATATTCATTTTAGGTGACAACTCAGTAAACATGAGCTAACTTTAGAGTAACTATTCTGGCTAATACAACGAAACATGTAACATAATTTAAAGACATTTTTCGATGCTTCTTTTCCTTGCAAGTAGACTCATGAAACATAATATTATAACCAACAAGTAATAGAGCAAATCTCAAACAGTACCAGCCTTTAAAGTAGCCAGTAAAGCTAACATTAGCCAGCCAGCTAACCACACTTACCAAAGTCATAAAGCTTGTCCAAAACATGCTCCAGAAACAAGCAATCTTCGTCTTTATTCCCGTTTCTTTCGGACCCCATTTCGTGCTAATAATAAGCAGGGTAAGCGGTAAAAATGAGAGCTTAAGTATTGTCGCTAACTTGCTCGTTTCAATGACAACAGAGCGCACATGGTACATGCAGTGCAACCCGGCGTATTAGTCCTGTCCGGCCACCGTAGGTAAAAGAGGGAAGGGCTAAAATGCTGCCACGGAAATGCCACTTGTTAAATACGCCCATGTGAAGTTTTCAGGTGTTGTTACCAGCTAACAGTGTGAAAAGAAGAGACAGGACCGTGCAAAATAAACGTGCACGTATTAAGTTCGCTGGATGTATCGCTCGTGTGTTTGTAAAGTGTGACATGGCCTCCGAAGCTGTTTATTCGGTAGGTATGCAGGTCACAGCCAGCGGGCTAAGCTAGCTCAGCTCTCCGCCCTCGCTCGGTGACCACTATTTGACATTTGACATTTCATTCAAACGGTTTCGTGCTTAATTGTGTACGTCTGCAACGACGCAGGCTTTAAACATGCGCTAATTTTGTGGTTAACATGGGAAAAATACATTTAACTACAAGAATGCGGGGCGTGATTTCTTAGCGGAAGCTGGTGATTTAATTTAACGTTGCTATGTTGTGTTTGGATGTAGTTGGTTATGTTGTTGGGAAAGTGTGTGTGTGTGTGTGTGTGTGTGTGTGGATCGGATCACTTTAATTTAGGTAACGGACTGATTTCCTACATCGTGCCAGTTTCTTTGCTCATATCCCTGAAGTTTCAGCCTTCAAGCTTTCAGACAGGAGACAAAATGTATGGCCTCATGTTTTGTTTCCGAGAAGATTTAAGCGAAAATTACTTAACTTTGGAGTTGCACTAACCCTGTCAAAAGAAGAGCCCAATGTCAAACTTCTATGAGGCAACAGTTGCGATTTCCTAATCCTGCTCCTCATGGTACCAGTATCTGCTGGTTTCCTATTCAGTTTCACTGTGGTGGTGGTGGTGGGGGGAATAATAAGCTACTCTCTCATGATTTGTGTGTACTGCCCCTTTAATCACAAGTGAACTTAATGCGTTGGTTTAACATAAAAAAACGTCAAAGTGCTCTAATAAAGCTTACTGTATTCAAGCACTTTTTTTAATAGCAGATATTACCTTATGCATTTTGTTACTTTCAACCATTGACTGCTTTCAACATACTGGACCGGATGTGAGCGTTAATGAAGCGTGTGGTGCTCTTAATCTTTAGTAAAAAAAGATTTTTAATGCCATATTTTTTGCATATCTAAAAATCATAGATCTAAAATAACTGTGGCATGTGTTTGTTCAAACTTTAAAAATGTGCCAGTAACTTAGAGCCCTGATGTGTTCATGCACATCAAAGTAAAATTGGCCTATTTTGAGAATGAAAATTACAATTCCAGAAATCACTTTTTTTTTTTTTTTTAATATACACACAATAGTGGTAAGTGAGCAGCGTTGACGCTATAAGTATATACATATTTCTGTGTGCTGAGGTTCTGCGTTTTTGTCGGTGACTTCGGCTACTTTGGAGGGCCATGTCTGACACGCTGTCATAGTTGTCATAACCAAAAAAATGCAGGTTTGTGTGACCATTTTGGCGTCCATTTCAGCTTCACCACTAGAGGGCAGTATTGCACTTTTTATTTCACAGTGGATATTTGTAAGTGCTGCTCATTGATTACTTAAAGAGAACATGGATAGGAAATTAGATGTGAGGTATTGTTTGAGCTTAAACGTTAAACAAGATTTCCATCAGCAAATTTGGCACTCCTTTAGTGGTCTCAAGAAATCTTTTGTGCTTAACAAAACAGTCTGTGGTCTGAATTTTGCCTCACTTTTACCACTGGAACACCTCACAGAGCCGACATAAAATCAAATTTCTAACATGTTATATAAGGGAGAACTGTGAGTAAAGCATGTTTCTAATAGTGCACTTTGTCCCTTTCTTAATAGCATAGAGATCCTATGCTAAAGAAGAGAGATGACTTTGAGGATATTCTGGAGGAGAGGAGGAACTCCAGTGACTTAAGATACGCTCTCAAATGTTACACTCCTGTTCTTTACAAAGGATTGACTCCATGCAAAGTCAGTGAGCTGAAGCAAATGGTGCTGCAGTCTGATCAGCTGGGTTATGTCATCACTCAGGTAAATTAGCTTTCTGGTTATACCTGGTGGATGTATTTTTCTCTTCAGTTCAGAAAATTACATTTCACAGTGAAAAATGTCTCCTACACTTTCCATTCTTTAACGCATTTATTTCAAGGGTTTCTGCAACAAGAAAATGTGTGCAAGCGAGCTAAAGTAACAAGTTTTACACAGCTTTAGAGTTGAGCACAGACAGGTATGACGCTCAGCACAGTTAACCACATAATAAAAGTGCTTCAGGAGACACCGACACCACAAACGCAGCTAAGAGGCCCAATGTAGTAACTCAAATGACCTTAGTTTAAGTGCAGAAAACACATTTAACCTAATTGCAACTACAGCCACCTGTGTCTGCAGCATTCTTTTAATCAAGGCAACCCTGACTTTAACTTTAAGCTTAAATCATGAAGATTGGCTCAAAAAGCAGATCAATCTCCAGTGGCTATCAGAGGAAATGTAGTTTGTGCCATGCACTTTTTAAAATTAACACCATTACTAGCATTCAAGGACAGCGTGGTGTTTTATGACACAGTAACAGGAAATGGTTTCTAATTTATTTTAAAAATATTACCTTATTTCATACAGTGAAAACTTCAAAGTCAGGAGCTACTACAAATAGACAAAGTCCAAAGTTTTCTCTCGAGTTTATAGACGAAGAAAATTGACAGAGAGGGACAAAGATCATCCTGCATTCTTATTGTCAGAAATGAATCACATTTACTTTTTTTAAAAGCATAATTTGTTTTAACATGTCTTTGTTTGTAATTGATTTATTTTGAATTTGAGGTTTCTAAAGAGAAGGGCATGACCACAGATGAAGTCACTGGGGAGGCGGCAGCCATCTTGGAGGAGATGGCTCAACGCTTGCAGCTCAGCACGGTTCGCTTCTTCGCCTTCACTCTCTCCAAAGTCTTTAAAACCTTGTTCAGGAGCATCTGTGTCAACGAAGAGGGCCTCCAGAGAGTGAGTGCGGGATGATGGCTCAGACAGTTACTCAAACTCGCACAGATGCACTTAACTTGTGCTTTCATTGTCGTTAGCTCCAGCAGGCCATTCATAACCATCCAGTAGTACTCCTGCCCAGTCACCGCAGCTACATGGACTTCTTGTTGATGTCGTACATCCTGTACACCTACGACCTGGCTCTACCTGTTATTGCTGCGGGCATGGGTAAGCAAAGGAATGAACAAGTGTGTGTATATGATGGGCTAGCAAATTATTAACTACACGTGTATCAGCTCGTCAGAGCTTGCTGTGTCACAGAAGTCTTAATTCTGCTTGACCGTATGTTTTAAAGATGGGCTTATAATACACCACCAGTATTTGCACATGAACTTTGCATTTCTCTGCAGACTTCATGGGGATGAAGGTCGTTGGGGAGATGCTGCGGATGTCTGGAGCTTTCTTTATTCGGAGGTCTTTTGGTGGAGATAAGTTGTACTGGGCTGTCTTCTCTGAGTATGTCAAGATTATGCTTAAGGTGAGGAGGCGGCTTCATTAGGGTTTGTGATTTGGAATGAGTCACATTTTTTTGTTTCTGTATTTCTATACCATTTATGTTCCTCTTTATCTCCTAACCTTAGAACGGATATGCACCAGTTGAATTTTTCCTAGAGGGCACAAGAAGCCGAACGGCCAAGTCTTTGACTCCAAAGTTGGGTAAGGCTCAGGTTTGAGCACAGATGATCTCTCCCAGGTTATTAGTGAAAAATGTAGATCTGAAGCTGTTTCTTTAAACATGTAAAAGTGATATGGTTGCAGAGGATTTTCTTGGCGTGTGTCACCAGAACGTTATTCAGCAGTAAATGTACTTTTGGCACTTATCCTTGTCTGTGTGTCCTCCTCCAGGTCTGTTAAATATAGTGATGGACCCATTTCTTAAAGGAGAAGTGTTTGACATTAGCTTGGTCCCCGTGAGTATCAGCTATGAGAGGACTCTGGAGGAGGCGCTTTATGCCAGGGAGCTGCTGGGTGTGCCAAAACCCAAGGAGTCCACTTCAGTGAGTAACATGAGACCTGTTTACTGTGAACATAATATCGTTAATTCATAATCATAGCAAAGCTGTTGAAATCAAAAGCTGTAGTTGGCAGTCTCGAGTGCAGAAAGTTATTTATTCTGGCATTTTGGGAGTGTAAAGCAGCTAGTCTGATTACTTGAGATCAAAGACATCTTTTTTTGTTTTTGACTGACTTGTATTTCAAAGAATAGTCTGAATGCATATTTCACTTGCAGACTTGCCAACACATATGGTATGATAATAAAACGCAGAGCTGGTATCGGAAAATGGGTCACGGAGACTTGAGCGTGTTGAGTAAGTGTAAGTGGGTCTTTCTCTGTCTTTAAAGACTTATTGTAAATCACTCTGCTCTTCTTCTTCTCGTCTCCTTTGTAGGGCCTGTTTAAAGCTAGAAAGATCCTCAGTGAAGACTACGGCAGTATCCACGTATACTTTGGCCAACCTGTGTCTGTAAGAAGTTTAGCTGAAAGCAGAGTTAACCGCAGCCAGTTCAACCTGATACCAAGGTACTGTTTTAATTTAAATTCCATTTGTAGTCTGAAATGGCTCAAATATCTCTATTTTCCACTGATTTTAACTTTTAGTATTTTGTGAAAATGACTCAAATCCAAGCCATGACTTGGCCCTGTGTCATTTGCTTGTCTTTTTCCTTATTAAAATTTTTTTTGGACATTTTATTATCTTCTGTACTTGAATAGTAATAATGTTTTATAACTATCTGTCAATATCCATGCTAGATATTTATAAAGTTTAGAATTTGGCCTCTTTCTTCTCACTTTAATGAGTGTCTTGTGGACAGTGCTCACATTTTCAAACCATCTCTCTCTTGGTTAGCCGTACACATTTTGTATTTATTTAACTAAAGAAGTAGTTTTATGTTTAGGCTCGTTACAGATGCAAAATATAGTACCGACTAACTTTGAGCTTTATGATTCCAGACATATCCCCACGAGACCCAGTGAGGAAATCCTCAGCTTTGTGAATGACTCCGCCTACAGGCTGGTGCGAGCCCAGGAGGAGAACATGGTCCTGAAGCCTTGGGTCCTTCTGGCCTTCGTCCTGCTGCAGAAACAGGCGGCGGAGGATAAGCAAGGGACAGCACTCGATGAGCTCACTGAACAAGCAGTGTGGCTCAGGGACCTCTCTCGGCACTACGGAGCCTTCCTCCACTGGCCGGGTACCGTATGAGCCCAGTTATCGGTTTTAGCAATAATGAAAACTCTATGTACTAAAGTGAGAGGACTAACAAGAGGCCAAATCGAACAATCTTGATATAAAGTTCATACAATCTTTTCATGGCTGTGTGCACATTGACACATATACATGCAGTCCTCAGGCTGATGTTGGTAAGATAAGTAAAAGTTCAACATGGATAAAAGCAGATTAAGAACAGATTAACATTAAGAAATACTCAAAAATGATGTGAAAACATTTGTACTAAAGTTTTATTTCCTTTTAGGTGAAGTGCAGTCAAGAGACTTGCACTAATTCAGACAGTTTTTAGGAACCTTGTAAAAACAAAACAAGGAGAGATGCAACCTTAAACATAAACCGACAGGGGTAGAGCAATGCATAGGGATGATGTGATATTGATATGCAGCTCAACAACGTGGGATTTCCATCCCATCTTTTTTTTTTTTTTTCTTTCCCCTCATCTATGATTCTCTCGTTTCTTCAGACCACATACCTCCCTCAGAGGTTGTTTCCTCCAGTCTTTCCCTTCATCGAGGTCTGGTGAGGATCTCTGAGGGAAGAGTCCAGCTGGCATTGGAACAAGGTTTGTTTTATCCCGGGTGTTTTTTATTTCTCAATGTCAATTTTTTTTTTTTAATCGTTCTAATATTAGCCCAGTCATAAAAACACGAGCTAAAGACTACATTTAAATAATCTAGCTGATACTCAGAGTCCAGTACAAATAATCAACAAAGACAGAGGCCAGTCAACCACAGGAAAGGACGGCTAGATTTTTTTTTTTTTTCTAATCTGACTCCACTTAAAACACAGACAATTAAAAACTGTTTACAAAAAAGGAAAACATAAGTAAATGAATGTTAATTATCTCTTGAAGTAGGAGGTCAACAGGTGCCCGGAGAGACTCGCAGTGCCATTACTCCAGAAGAGGAGCTCCTAAACCAGGCAGTCGTCATACTCTCCTGCGTCTCCTACAGGAATCAAGCACTAAACGTCTTCATCCGACCGGCCCTGCTGGCCTCAGCCATCCACACTGCTGCCTCCAACCGGAAACGTAAGACTGCCACCACTGTGCTACTCTCAGCCTGCTCAGTCATTATGAGTGCAGGTAGAAATACAGGAAAAACAAGTAGTACTACTGTTAGTTAGGACACCACAGATTAAATCTACTTTGTGTAACAGGAAATGGGAGCTAACTGTTTATCTCCAGAAAATTCCTTTTCAGTTTTTCCAAGTAATTTTGTGCCAACTGAGCACAAGGTTAAAAAAAAAATAAATTAAACTTATCTGATGAAAAAAGAGGTTTTTAAATGTTCTCTTAACTTGAGCTGACATCTATTTTTAACACGGATGTTTTTAGTCACAAAAGGGAAGACGCGACCATTGTGACAGTTTACAGTTCAGGTTTTTTTTTGTTTTTTTTGTTTTGTGGTTTTAGATTCTGTGGAAGTTCTTAATCTGTCAAAAGTTTTTATATGGTATGATAATTTAATCTTTTTTTAATTGTGAATCCATATTGCAAAGTCAAACTAACAATGAAAAAATAAAAATCTAAACTCAGCTAAGTGTCTTTAAAAAGTCACTTAAACTCAGCCTGTTTATGCTGGCACATTTGCTATGATGCAGATGTAACCGAGAAGCTGGACAAGTTCAAATACTGGGGTCAAAAGCAGTGGATGGTGCAGAAGAGACTACAGACAGGGAGGAGTGGGTGGAGATGACTGTCAGGTGTGATTTGCGATGGGAGGATAGCAACAAGAGTGAAAGGGGAAGGTTTCCAAAATATTAGTGAGACCTACTATGATGAAACGAAGAGACAGGAGCCCAAGTTGAAGGTGGCAGGGGTGAAGATGAGGTTTTCACTGGGAGTGACCAGAATGGACAGGATTAGGGAGGAGTGCGTCAGAGAAACAGCACAGGTTGAGCTGTTTGGACACAAAGGCTGAGATGGGGGAGGGAATATGGAGAATACTGGGGATGGAGGGGTACATGATATGCGGTGGTGACCTCTGTATGTGTCTTCCAGAGGAGATCTACAACGGCTTCAGCTTCCTGAGAAACATGTTTTCTAATGAGTTCATTCTCTGTCCTGGAGCTACTGTACAGGTGAGACACATCTTCTCTGTGCTGGTGTACTCCAGATTAATTATGAATAAATTATTGTATGGTCATTGTGACATATTTCTCTCACCTCCTGTTGTCTGGCAGGACTTTGAGGAGGCCTGTTACCTGCTGGTGAAGACCGGAGCTCTGCAAATAAACCAGCAGGAGGTTCTGATCACCGAGAGAGGGCACAGGACTTTGGCCTTCCTCACCAGTGTTCTCGATCCATTCTTACAAGGATACCAGGTGAGGGAGATGCATACACAGCGACACAGTGTCGTTTTGAACACGAGTTGGCTGGATCGTATTTTGCATGTAACAGGTTGGAAGAGTCAGTCCTGTATTATGATGTCAAGTGCATGAAAATAGATCAAAGAAAAGCAGTTTGGTTCAAATGATTAAAAAACAAATTATCCGATTTGAAAGGAGATTTATTATAATTTATAATTTTCTCATATATATTGTATTTAAATAACAACGTACGGTATGATAAGGACACCTCAATCTCAACCATATAAATTTAAATTGTGTAATACACTGGGATATTTATAATTAGATCTGTTAGCTCCTGTTTATAATTGGAGCTATTTCGTTATATTTTGAAACTTTGTAAAATACCTTAGGTTTGTGCAGATGTCCTCTAGAGGGTGCTGTTGACTCATCAGTCCTAACAGTTCCTTGTTTGCGTTTGTGGTGGCAGGTGGTGTGTCGCTTCCTGTGTGAAGAAGACTGTCTGACAGAAAAACAGTTTATTCCTGCTGTCCGGAAGTTCATCATCAAACATCTTCTCACAGGTTCTCTCCCAAAATGTTTCTTATTTCTACTTGTGATTTTTATTTTCAAACATTCAGTACTCTATGCCAATGATTACATGTTAAGTGCTCATGTGTATTTCCAGGTAGATTAAGGTATATTGAAGTGTTGTCATCGGACCTCCAGAAGAATGCTCTGGCAGCTTTGATAAGACTTGGAGCTGTGCAGAAAATCAAAGGGTATGTTGGTTTTACTCACCTGCGTGTCCCATGTTGGTTTGATCGGCTGTCTGGCTATCCCACCCTTACACCTATGCCCTTTGTGTGTGGGAAATATTGAGCTCATTTGTATAATGTGATCAAAAGTCAATTAAAACACAGCAAGAAAACCAAAACCTTTATGGTCAGAATAAAGTGGAAACCACAAAGCTTTTTAGTTTTACTCTTTTCATTTCATCCAAAAATATATTACCTCTCTTATCTGTTATCTAGTCTGGCAGATGGTTTGGATTTTATTTGCTTTAGTGTTGGTATCATTCCTCTAATTTCTACTTCCAGCTCACAATGCCTCTGCAACACTGATTTTTAAGAAATGTGGGAGGTATCCCTTTAATATTGGATTATCCAGTGAACGCTATAAAGTGCCACTAGAACTACATTTTAATTAAGTCTTTTTTTTTTTTTTTGTCTTGAAAGTAACAACTATTGCTTCAATGTTTTTCCTTCAGAGGCGAGGAACAGGGGACTTTAAAACTCAACAAGGTGATGTTAAACTCCTTGGAAGACACTCTTGGTAAGAAATAAGCTGTAAATTTGTGTCTAAATAACCAGACTGCATATTTGTTGGGTTTGCTTTAAACCACACATATTTTCTGTCCCTACAGGAGGAAAACTCCCCACTCAGAAATCTGTTGTAGCTCACCTCTAATTCAGCGACCCCTATTAGCCGAAGGGCATCGCGGACGGTTAGGGCAATGCGCTGATGTCGCTCTGCTCCACGTGGTTTGTTACGAGTCGTCCTGGCCTACTTGCTGTGTTCTGTGAGAGATGGAACAAAAGACTTGCCATCTGGAGACAGCTCAACCCTGCGTTTAGTTTTTTTTTTTCTTTAATTTCTCTCCTTGCCTTTTTTCCAAAATGCTTCTCAGATTCTCCTTTTAAAACCTTTTTTATGAATCTACATAAAACCACATGATGAGTGAAGCCTTTGAAGGTACACTGCTGAGCTTCTTTGGCTCATTCTGAATAACGGATCTTTTGCTTATGAGCGACCTTGTGAAAGCTTCTGAATGTGCCATCTTCACTCAGCGTAGAGGCCATTCTCTGTTGATGCATTTGAAATGTGTTTCTAACTCTGAACGTGGCTTTTGTTTTCCTCACTTTGCTTTTTCATTCAAGCTTTATGTTTGTTAGCTGTTAGTCACTCCTATCCTTTTGAGCACTTTAACTAATGTATTCATGCTGTGTGGTGTGGGCCTCTATCCCAGTTGTATGTTGTGGTGCTGGTTTCTTTGTTTTCTTGAATTTGGAGATTATGTATTTGAACTTTGGGTAAATATTTTAGTACCACATACTACCCGTCTACCCACCCATCCTCAGGCCTTTTTGCCAACTCTCCAAACTACTTGGACAAGAAGTACATATGTCTTTGTTTACACAGTGGAGACACTGCTACAAGTTCAATGCCAGGGTCATCAAGTTGCCAAACTCCATATACAATTGAAGTTATACTCAAGCACTACCAGCTGTACCAAAGCCACAGGTTTGTGGGAAATAAATTCTTCCTTCCTAAGTTCCTTACAAGGGAAGTAAGAAAATTCATAGAAGGAATTTTCAGAATATTTTCAGTGGCTTATTCAGGACTCAGGATTACACACGATTAGCATGGTAACATTTTTCAGTGAGTGTTTTTTATTTAGTTTTTGTAGTTCAAGTTTTCGAGGTAAAACTAGATCATTTATTTTGTCGACTCCTATCTGTGCACTCCTGTTACCTTAGAAATCCCATCAATTCAACAGCAGCAGATTTGAGTTCTTGCTGGAAAATGCTTTGGAGGCAAAGAAAAACGGTACAGATTGGTTTAACTATGAGCAAAGCCAAACCAAATTTCATGGAAATTGCCATCTGTGTTACATTTGAGCTGCAACTTAACAAACAATAAGCACAGCTTTCAGTGATCTTGTTTGTGTGCCTAATGTCAAAGATTCCTGCAAAATTTAATGGGAAACAAAAGGTAGTACCCTATTTAGGTTTGAGTATAAGTAATGTGCAAAAAAGGCAGTAAAGAACTTGACAAATGTCAAATAATATAGATTGGTGCTGTAGTAGAATAACTGTGGGCCTAAAAGTAAATGGGGGGGTTGTGTAACATTGACAGCCAAAGTAACAAAACCTTGATATGCAAACAGCTTTCTATGATGCATAGAAAAGTTGTACGTAAAGGAAGACTTAAATGAGGACTCTCAAAAATGCACTGTAATAGCAGAAGTAGTGGGTTACTTACACATTACACCTACCTATACCAAAAAGCTCCTGGTGCACATGATTGTGCTGCTGTTAATGCCAGAGGAGGTTTGGATCTCAGTCAGCAGAGTGATGGTGACTATTACTGTGCCTCAGCATTTGGAGAACCCACATTGCTGTATTAGGGTATGTGGTCTGACATAAAACCACTTACAGCTGATTGTGGAATATGTAGGAGGAAAGAAATTTCACAAACAGACTTGTTATATCTGTGGCATCCCATTAAAGTACCACTCTCATTCTTTTTCAAATGTTTGTATGGGCAGACTGAATAACTGGATGGTTGATTTTAAATACCTGTAGCAAAACGCCTTGCTTCAAAGATTAAGACATGTGGCCCAATACTTTTGTCCATATAGTGTCTGTCAGATTTCTGTGGTTTGGCAAAAAAGAGAAATCGCAACATCTTCAAACTTTTCTGCACTAAAGTGTTTATTCAGCTTTATTTGTTTGTCTGTTGGTCAGATGTTGAGCTTGTAAAACTTAAAGTGAACTTTAACCTAAAGAAAAGTTTCATTTCATTTCATTACGCCGACAAAAGTTCAAGTTTGTGTTCTGCGTTTGAATTGTTTTACTTTCTCACCTCAATAACAGCTGTCAAATAATGTCTAAAGATCAGATTTCTTTCTGTGCATTTACATTTTATAGCCACATTATTAGATACATTTATGAGATCCAATTCATTTGAATCTATCAGCTGGTCTTTTTTTTTTTTTTTTTTGCTGTATAGTTGTTTGATGGGCTGCATTACTTTTAAGTATTCCTAAAATTTAGACCACAACATTTCACTTAAACAGTATTGGATTCCATTAGACTGTACCTAATAATATGGTAGGTCAGTGTGCAAGGGCCTTTTAGTACTAAATGTATAGGCTGGTTAAATGGAAAAAGTATGTTAATAAAACCTTTTGAAATACAGTTCTCGTCTCTGAAATTGTCTCTTCTGTCGATAAACTGGGTTGCGGGATGAAGATGATCCAATTGATTAACATTCACTCCATCATCATCCTCCAACATCCAGTGTTTGGTGTGATAGTCGGTTCTCTTGTGGCTCAGATATTGAGAGAAACTCTTTGATCATACCTGATTAAAAGATCAAGTGAGCATATGTTATCATTGCTGATGTACTTCCATAAACTTTAATCTCAAAATGTTCGGCTTCTTTCTTTCGGTCTACAACTATCCCTGTGCAAATCTCAGGATGCATGACTTTGGCTACCAGTTCACATCGCTCTCATTGGTTGTTGACTTTTAAAATCAAAATTTACCAATATTCAGTTTTAAGCTACATTTGCACACGTATTTTAGACCTCTGAACAGTTTCTTCCTATCACATAACCACTCCAATGGATACATTTGGACAATTTGGGCTTCAGTACTTTTGTCAAGGGATGCTTTGACATGTAGACCGGAGCAGCCAGGGATCAAACTGCTGACCTTTCCATTGTTATAACCTCGACCCTCTGAGACCAAACAGAAGCTGCATGCATGTTTACTGTCAGTCTAATATCAAACTAACTCGACAGTGCCTGTTACTATGCCCACTCCCTAAAGTCCTGCCTTCTGCTCTTTAGAGCAAACTGTCTTTTGTTCATGTCACTGAAGTTCTTGTAATTGTTGGGGTTTTTTGTGTTTTGCTGAGATCACTATTGCATATATATGGTAAATGTATTTGTATAGCGCTTTACTTGGTCCCTAAGGACTCCAAAGCGCTTTACACTACATTCAGTCATGCACCCATTCACACACTGGTGGTGGTAAGCTACATTGTAGCTACATTGTACTGACAGAGGCGAGGCTGCCGGACACTGGCGCCACCAGTAGGCAATGGGTGAAGTGTCTTGCCCAAGGACACAATGACCGAGACGGGGCTCGAACCGGCAACCTTCAGATTACAAGACAAACTGCCAACTCTTGAGCCACGATCGAACGAACCACAAACTGTAACCGTGAATTGGAATATGGCATGCTGCATGCTAACAGGTTACCTCACAGCTCACATTCATTGATTTTACTCAAACAGCAGAGCACCTCATAATAAATATGTATTCTTTAAAAAAAATCTGTCTTGCTCCACAACAAAAGTCAGCAGGGTAAAAATTACTTTTGAGAATTTTAAGGTCAGATACGTCTGACCAGATTTTAAGATTTGTCAATCACATCTCAGAGCTAGAATAAACCTTGACTACTTTTGTTTGAAATGTTTTACAAAATCCCGCAGACACAGAACAATGTTGGCATTCAGTTGCAGCGGTCCTTTTGATTTATCAGCTTGTTGCATAACTTTGCATGTCTGCTCTGGGCAGGTGTTAAATATCAGAAAGCGACTGTCTGCTGCATCTGGAAGAGATGCTGATGATAGTGGTGAGTTTAAATAAGATCAGTCCATGTAGCTGTGGGCGCTAAAACCAAAACAATAAGCTGGCAGACACTACAAAGCCCCATAAAGCTGAGGGGACTTGCACAGTCAGATGGCAATCTTAACAGAGGCAACTGTGCATAGTCACTTCATCCTTTGCTAACATGATGGTTGTTTAGAGCAGCTATAGAATCATCCATCCTTGTATCCATTTTCTTATGCTATTCCAATTCAGGGTTACACTTAGACTGAAGCTTACTCCAGCTGTCACAGTGTGAGAGGCAGGGTAAACCCTGAATCTATCACAGGACTAAAGTCTACCACAGGGATCAATCAGATTAATTGAACTAAAATGTCCAGTTGATCAAAAACATGGTGACTGGGTACAGAGCAATAAAGATGGTGCCCTGGGGTTGCCTATATCAGTAGTGCCATGACTTTTGAATCAAAAGCTTTTAATTTGAAGGGATTTCTAAGGTCTTTAGCAGAAGAAGTGAAGGTACACTGTTAAAACGATTAAGGGAACACTTGATTATCACAGTATAACACAAACACAGTTAAACATCAGGGACATAAATTTGTCCAGTTAGGAACCCTATGCTTTGGTGCAAATGATTCAGGATGCACACGTAGTCCAGCTTCTCCATGTCGCAGTCCTCAGCACAGATCCCACTAAAAGACAGCGGGACCTCACAGAGTCTGTTGCTGACAGTTTGGTCAGAAACACATGAATAGCTGGCTGGAGGGCATTTTGTGGCACTCTGGCAGTGCTTCTCCTGTTCCTCATCACACAAAGGAGCAGATACCAACCCTGCTGCCAGGTCAGTGCCTTTCTACGGCCCTGTCCAGCTCTCCTTGTGAACTGATTCATCTTCTGGTATCTCCTCCACACTCGTGAGAAAGCAAACCTTGACTGAAAAGATGTGCCATCCTGTAAGAGCTGAACTACCTGTGTAACCTAAATGGGCTGCAGATACCATTTCATGCTAGTAGTGAAGCTAAATAGAGAAAAATCAGTTAAGATAAGTAGAGAGCAACAGGGGTTATCTTGTTCTTGCCTCATTAGTAAACCTGGAGAGCATAAGCGCAATAATTTGTGCTTCCTAACTGAACAGACCGACATCCCTAAAGCTTAACTGACTTATTGTTACGCTGTGACGATCAGGCGTTCTCTTAATTTTTACGAGCAGTGTATATATTTTGTGTGGTTTCGTGTCCAAGAACAAGAAAGTTAGAAAAGCCATGTTATATTTTGTTTCACACACATATACACGTGAGATATATATACACGAGAAGCTGGAGAAATACCAAGGGCTCAGAGAAGAGCTCGAGAAGATGTGGAGGGTGAAGGTGACGGTGGTCCCAGTGGTAATCAGAGCACTAGGTGCGGTGACTCCCAAGCTAGGCGAGTGGCTCCAGCAGATCCCGGGAACAACAGCGGAGATCTCTGTCCAGAAGAGCGCAGTCCTGGGAACAGCTAAGATACTGCGCAGGACCCTCAAGCTCCCAGGCCTCTGGTAGAGGACCCGAGCTTGAAGGATTGACTGCCCACAGGGGCGAGTGGGGAAATTTTTTTTTTTTTTGAAAATTAAATAATTTTTTTTTACATTTAAAAAAAAAAAATCTGTACTTCAAGGACTAACAGTAAGCCTCTCTGGCAATCCCCAGGAGATCTGGCAGTGCTGAAGCAATTACATTACACTGCATTAGATAGCCGGTCGTAACAGAGTACAATAGGTGGAAGCAGAAAGAGCTGCTTCATAAAATCTACCTCTTGGTGTCAGGCTTGGCTCTCTCTGAGACTTCACTTCATGGCACTTAGTTGATGCATGGACACTACCACGCTATCGCACGCACACACTATCACAGCAGCATTTTTCATCATGTTTTGTGGCTCTGCTGCTGAGTAAGAGACTGCTGCCAGCAAATCCACCACTTTCCATCCATATTGCCCTTTCTTTCATACTCAGTCTCTGACAAATTATAGGTTCATCTAAAGTTGCCATACCAAATTGCTTATACACACACAACTCCAGTCCATCCATTCAAGCAACCGTCCATCCATCCATCCTCCCATCCTCCCATCCTCCCACCCAGCCATTCCTTCCTCCTATTTTCTTTTTCTCTTTCTCTCCCTCCCGTCTCCCTGGTGGTGGTGTATTACAGTGACAGCCATAGCCATATCAGCACTTTATCTGGTATATTATGACAAGCTGTTATTGAAAAAGGGGCACATGCACACACACATGCAGAAGGGCAGAACCCAAATAAACTGCTTTCTGATCTGTGGCAGCTACTGAGGGTAAAAAAAGGACGTTTCTGCTGTTTTATAACCATAAGTACAATGTTTTTATTACTTTTATTTTCCCTAAAACTGACCTGTTATTCCTTTACCTTCTCTTTGTGTGTCTCTGTGCATGTACAGGGGTGATTGAGTGCACACGGGCCTGGCGTTGTGCCCAGAGGGGTGTGTGGAGGTCTATATGTACAGAATTGATTGAAAGAAAAAGGTACCCTGGTGTATAATGTTTCAGCAGTTAACCTTAGGTAATAGTAGCCTGATGGATTCAGCTCATTTCTTCTAGCAGATCCTCTTCATCAGCCCTGCACTGGAGGCTTGAAAATTTACATGCAGTAAGGGGGACCAGCGCTCAATGTCAATTCTGGGGACTACCAGAAATCCCAGAAGAGGGTCCTGAAGATCGCAATTAGTACACATTTAAAGGTTTTCCCCAGTCACACCCTATATAGAAAAATGCCGCAAGCTGAAGTACATTATTTCAGGATTCTCATCATGAAAAACATTTCTGCTCTCAGTATTTTCCCTTCAAACCACGAATCCCATTTTTATTGACACAAAGACAAGAAAAAGTGCTTTCATAGGCCACTTACAGGTGAAAACTGTTCATTCCTCAGGAACTAGAATCAAATAGCATCCATAAGTCACAAAAACTCTACAGCGAGCTGCAGCAGTTTGAGGGAAATTGCACCTATTGGAGCTTTAGGAAGTCCCGCAGGTGCACATTTTAAAGAAAAAGTCACTCAAACCACTGAGCTTCTGTTTTTCCGTTATTTTCCTCAGGTGTGCCAGTCACAGGAGGCCTCGCATTAAGTGCTTCAATGCCCAGTGTAATCACTTATTTAATGCTGAGAAATGGTAGGTCCATGGGGACAATCTGCTGCCTCAGAGTAGCATCAAACTGTTCCATAAAATCACTAATATTTCATGTATTAGATATTTTTTTGCAAGGCCTTAAGAGTTCTGGAGATTGATCTCCTTTTAGTGTAAGGAGTGTGTTACTTTTCATCCATCAAACAAAGTACAGCTACCTAAGTACAAAATGACAGTAAGTACAATTTGATAAGGACAATTTTTTACTTTAAACATCTACTATAGCAGAAATGTTTACTATTTTATACAGCCTTTATTTGACAACCATTTTCATATGAAAGATATATGAAGTACAAAAAAACAGTATAAATAAAGAGTTAGTTTTTTTTAAAACTCTTTACAAAAGACAGAAATTTAGTTTGGACTCCTTTAAAAT